AGTTTGCAGGCAAGGAATCGGCTTTCAGGTTCCTGGCGAGGGGGCAAGAGATTCCGAGGGGGGGGTCCTCTGGCCGGCTGACGGCTCAGCGGTCGCACCTTGCATCATTCCAGTGGTGAAATCCCCGGGGCTTTTCTCTTCCTTTCTTTGCCTGAAGCCAACGGCGCAGAGCAGGGACCCACCCCCCAGGGCTGCGAGTGGGCGCGGGCCCTCCCTTCTCGAGCGTGTCCTTCCCGTGAACAGCACACGGCCCACCCCGCGAACCCAGAGAGAGCAAGACGGCGCTTTCAGAATTGCTTGTGGTGTAAGAGGCGTGCGTTGTTAACCAGAGGATTTTTTAAATCTTTTTATCTTTTTTTAAACTATGTCACATGAAATGAATGAGTCTCTGCTGTCTCCAGGTGCCTTTTTATTAATTGTTTAGCTTCGTACATGAGAAAGACAGAAAGCGTCGGTGTCTCCAAATAAAGCGAAACAGCTCTGAGAAAGTGGGGCCCCGAATTGCCTCCTCCCCGCCAGGCCTCCCGCGAACGCGGCCCCCCCGGTCTCCTTGTCCCTGCCCCCAGCCCAGCCCAGCTTTCAGCCTTAACAGGTTTTCTGGAAACTATTTTTTCCCCCTTTGCTACTTTAGTTTTCATCTTTTAGCTACGTGAGAATAGCATGAACTACTTTGAAATTTCGAGAGCCCGAAGTGTAGCTGTGACTCCAGCCATCCCATTATTCTTCCAAGAGGTGGCCGAGGTGACTGAGGAGCCGGCAGCCAACCCCCCAGGCCAGAGCCGAGGTCCAGGTGTAACCGGCGGGCGCCCAGAGCTCCTGGAGGGCCCCGCGTCCCCACCTCGCTAGCAGGAGGGTGGCCGTGACAATGCGCAGCCACCCTGTCGACACCCCCAAGGAGCAGGGGTGACCTGTGACCTTCCAGTGCCCTGACGGTAGGGGAGCCGGTCCTGTGGCCCCATATAGAGCGTGTGGTATCTCCTCGGCTCTAGTCCGTCTACACTTCGTCGGGCCCTCTGCTTTCCCAGCGGCCGCCTGTGGCCCCCGGAGGCTAAGGAGAGTTTTGTGTTGGGTGAAAAGCCCCTTTTCAGTTTTTCCAACAGTTGACGGTGTGGAAAGGTTCCTCTCTCTCTTCTCTCTCTCTCTCTCTCTCTCTCTCTCTCTCTCTCCTCTCCCTTCCCTCCCTTCCTTCTCTCCTTCCTGCCTTCTTTTTCTGAGCGGAGGCAGAAATATTCTAAACCAAAAATCCTAGATGCTCTGCCCAAAGCCACTTGTGCGTGAGAATCACCCCCAACAGTTCACCGGACAGGACGCACCTCGGGGCCCCAAGCCCGGCTCCGTCCTCTCGGCCCCAGGACGGCCGGCGAGGGGGCAGGAACCCGCGCGAGGCGACAGGCTGCAAGCTGAACTTCTTGGAAGACAGATGCCTGGTGGAGAACACGGACAAACTGCCTTCTGTGCACTTCGAGCTCTAAGCCATACGGACTTCGCTTTAAAATATGGGGGAAAGTGTTGTCACGTCTCAGAATGAGGACCCTTTGGTTGGAGGTGTGTTCTTTGCTTTGGGGTTTTTGCGACAACATGAAGCTTTTTTTCAGGTTCATTATATTTCCTGTACTTTCTCTTTCTCTGCTTTGACTGAACTTTTTGTGTATGGGATCGTCTGTCTGAGGCTCTGCTGGCACCGTGGCTGCTGACGGACTGTTAGCACCTGCTCCC